TCTAATACATCCTTATTAAGATGCGTGTTTCATATGAATTATATAATTAATACATGTAAATTAATATATGAGATAATATATAAGATTGCAGATCTTTTACAATATAAAAAAAAAATCTGTTTAATTTCCAGATATGAAATCAACTATTTAATGATTCTGTTAATCTATAATTTTTAGAAAGTAAAAACAATTGTAATTTAATTACAATAAAATTCATTATTATCATATAATAATCTTTAATTAATATAATAATCTTTAATTAATATAATAAGTAGATTCAAATGATTTCTATTTGGATATTTCCAAATCTTATTATATTTCAGCTGGGATTACCCCGACTGCCTTCAGCCTCATCACCAGCACGTAATGCGTATCGCTTCTGCCCCGGATTCTTACAGAGCGTGGCCTCCACGTGGTACTTCCTTAATGCCACGAGTGCAGAGGATAGGTACCTCGGATCCCCAATTAAACCTGTTACCATCCCCACCATCTACAAGTTTACACGTGCCTTGGGGGATGCAGACCCAGGACATTCGACGTCGCCTGCACTATCACCTCGCCAACATTTTTCCCGAAGAACAAGTGCAGGCTGTCATGACACTTCATCCCCACGAGACCGATCCTCAGCAGATTTGTGCTGCCATTTTGACGATGTTTCCCAAGAATCAGAATTGATGATGAATTTTATTCATGTTCAGAATATTCACGAGTTGAAGCATTGAAACTATCTATATAACAGTTATATTTTGTTATTTTTATGGATACTTTGTATATTGCAGAAAAACTTTAATGCAGATCCAACGGTTATCGTATAAATTGCATTGAAGATATTAATTAATTGAATCGTTACAGAAGATATTTGTATTTTTTGGATCTCTCTCTCTCTCTCTCTCTCTCTCTCTCTCTCTCTCTCTCTCTCTCTCTCAAGTTTTCTTTTGAAATTTCAAATGCATTTTTGTCCTACTAGCCAAGATAAGCTAGTATTTCTTGGACGAAGAAAGCGAGAGATGAAAACTAATAACTCAACACAAAAAGTTTCTAAGAAACTTTTTAGACGTTTTAGATTTTTGCATTGTTTAGGAATAATTATCGAGAAAGGAATGGTTATACATAATAACGTGTATTAGTCTAGGGCATTATAACACGAATTGTTATTATTCGGAAAGTAAACAATGAGAAGATCCGTTTTAATTATCATCATTTTTAATCATAATAAACTTGCATCAATGACTATCGTCTTACATTGATGAACTTTTCGACTCGCGAAATCGTCTTGCTTTTTCACCGATCCCTATTTAAATTTCAATTAAATTTTAACTAAAATATTTTAACTAAAATTGTAACTTATTATAAAGAATAACGTGATAGAATTTTATATATTTATTGTCATAATGAGATTAGGGAATACTTCAGCGCCAATTATTAATTAATTATCTGATTTTGTGACAAAATTGTTTAATAGATTCTTTATCGATATCTTTTTCGTCAGTTTCTGTTACACAAGAAAAAAAAAGAAGATATTAGGTATGTTACAAGTTTAAAGTATATATAATTTTTTATGCAAGACTGTGTCGAAATCGTTACATTAGCGGCTGTGAATTATGGAAGAACGATGTTATAAATTGGATGTTCGGTATTAGGTGTAACACCGTTCTTGGATAGGTAAAGCAAACTAAAATGAATTTAAAAATTCTGTATCATTTTACAATTTTCGCAACCGTTAACAAGATGTTAATTTCTAAAGATCATTGAATATAAGTGTGCATTTGTCTGGCCTATCGCTAAATGCAAGTGCTAGACATGATACGACCATCCAGCGCAATCCAGCGCGGAGAGATATTTTTTGCTAGTGCATTGCAAAGCCAAGGCTGCTTGTAGTAAACAATTAATTTTTCGTGCACCTAGCAACTTACGACAATGGATAGTCTCGCCGCTGTTTGTATTTAGTAGTAGGCTATTCAACGATTTTTAGAAATTAATACTCGTACCTCCTTAAATATTACGAAAATGATTTTCAATTCAATTTAGTTCACTTTTATACTCATAAACGATATTATATCTAATATCAAATACTTTGTATGTATATAAATACAACCGATGTGAATGTAACCTGGCGCTCAACTTTATCAAAAATAAAAATTAATACTGCAGGCCGTTTGTACTTCGTTTGTACTTGTTTGTACCGATTATTTCGTTTGTACCTCAAATAGTTAAACAAAAAGTGAAAAATAAAAAATGGCTAGCGCGCAACTTTAAAATTTTTTAATTTCATTTATGCCATTCGAAAGACAATCGTTTGTACCCGTTTGTACTTCTATTACTTTCGTTTGTACCTCAAAGGGTTCGGAGATAAAGCGATTTCAAAATTTCATAAAGCGTCAAGAGGATAAGTCGGTCATTTTTAAAGATATCGAAATGGGACTAACGGCATTCGAAAGAGAATCGTTTGTACCCGTTTGTACCTCTATTACTTTCGTTTGTACCTCAAAGGGTTCGGAGATACTATATAGAGGTTGCAAAAAACTGAAACACGCTGTATCAAACGATAAATGAAATTAAAAAATTTTAAAGTTGCGCGCTGGCCATTTTTTATTTTTCACTTTTTGTTTAACTGTTTGAGGTACAAACGAAATAATGATCGGTACAAACAAGTACAAACAAAGTACAAACGGTCTGCAGTATTAATTTTTATTTTTGATAAAATTGAACGCCAGGTTCACATCGGTAAATACAGCCGGTTATAGAAAGGTTGCAACATTTTTTTCGATGGATTTCAGAACTCAGCCTTGCTCGTAGAGCGATTGAACGTAAATGATTAGATTCACAAGTAAGAATCAATCACTCGGTGAGCAAACATTTCATCAAAAAAAGTATTGCAACTTTCTTCGGCGATCGGCCGTATATACATATATATATATATATA